TCCCTCCATTGTAGGCTGATGCTGCCGGTACACGTGTGTAGGTCTGAATTGCCAAGGAAGACGGGGGGGGGGGGGGCAATGGGGGCAATGAGGTAATGGTGAGCTATTTATAAGCATCCTTGGATCTATGCAGGCAGGCAGCTTCAGTTCAGCAGTTCCTGTTTTCTTGGCAAGGGAATGTAGGCAAACACACGTCTCTTTGTGTATGCATTAAAAAGGTACAGGTGGCTGGGAATAAATTTAGATCGCCGGGGACTCTCTGTCTCCAAGGGTGTTTTCCTAATAAGCCCCTGTTTGGACCAGGGATCTCATGGGTTTCTTTATCCATAGCCCACCCCACCCTGAAGGCCTGGAGCACGTAACAAAGCAACCCCCGCCCAGTCGAAAGGAACAAGAATAGTTCCTGGAGAAGCTGATTGCTCTGAGCATATCTGTGGGTTACTTAACCAGGGGCAAATGCTACGGATGTGTCTGTAGTTAAGTGGTTCTGTTATAGGCTTGCCAGGCTCCAGGTGGGGCCTGGAGATCTCCCGCTTTTACAATGGATCTCCGGCTGACAGAGATCAGCACCCCTGGAGAAAATGGCTGCTCTGAAGGGTGGAGTCCATGGCTGTGTGCCATGCTGAGGCCCCTCCCCAAACCCCGCCCTCTCCCGGATCCACCCCCAAAGTCTCCAGGTATTATCCAACCCAGACCTGGCAACCCTGTTCTGTTATGTGTCCTTTGTTGCGCAGTGCGTCTGAAGCAACTTTCCAGCACCACCAGCCACCAGGACTTTTCCAGCCACTCCAGCACTCACCAGCATTCACTGCAGAGGAGGTTCTGTATAGCACCACACCAATACAGTCCAGTGGTAAACTATATACAGATTTATTTACAATATATACACTCCACTGACAAACTGCTCCGCCAAACACCATATCCAAAGAGAAGAGAATACAGAGCAAGTACATGTCCACTTATATACATTGAGTGTCCAATCAGCTTCAAGCTGAGTCATGATTACTGACCTCATACCTTATCTGGTCTGAACCGGTCAGGACTTATCAGCAGCTTGCCTGCTGTCACTTAGATCCTTATGATCTGAGTGATGGATATTAACAACCAACATCCTTCATGCTCTTTTCATACATTATGAACATGTACTGCTGAGGAGGGATGCCCGCCTCCAGGTGGGGCCTGGGGATCCCCCGGGATTACAGCTCATCTCCAGACTACAGAGATCAGTTCCCCTGGAGAAGATGGATGCTCTGGAGGGTGGACTCTGTGGCATTGTACTCCACTCAGGTCCCTGTCCTCCCCAGGCTCCATCCCCAAATCTCTAAGAGTTTCCCAACCTGGATCTGAAAGCCCTACCCGCTGCCCTTCCCAGTGGGTGGCCAGGAGAGATCTAGCAACCCTGCCTCCATCAGAGAGTTCTTATAAAAATTATTAAGACAATGTATGTGGAGTGGTTTGGGAAAGGGCTGTCACTTACAGGAGGGCAGGGAGCTGTTCCTGTTGGGAGCAGAGGAGAGGACTCACAAGAATGGGTTTAAATTAAGGGCGGGAAGGTGCCGGCTGAATATTAGGAAAAACATTTTTACAGTGAGAGTTGTGCAAGAGTGGAATCGGCTGCCTCCGGAGGTGGTGGGCTCCCACTCCCTGGCAGTCCTTAAGCGGCGGCTGGACAGACACTTTTCAGGGATGCTCTAGGCTGATCCTGCACTGAGCAGGGGGTTGGGCTACATGGCCTGTAGAGCCCCTTCCGACTGTGATTCTGTGATTCGATGAAATGCTGAGCACTATCACACCACTCTGAATCTGCAGAGTGCTTTACAGTTTTCACTGGTGTCTTCCACTTAGCCTTCCCACTTCACAAAGCAGGGACTGCCCTACATCGCAGCCCTAAGCAGAGGTACGCCCATCTCAACCTATGGGGGTCGTTGGGCTTAGAAGGGTGTCGCTCTTTTTGAGATTACATGGATAGTGACCGGCCTAAGGGCACAGGATGAAAATGGCGCTGCCTCACACTGAACTGAGTCGGACTGTTGGCCCCTTTAACCCTTTGGAGGGCGGGGTCGCAAAGGGCCTCAGGCTGGGGCCGTGCTTGAAATCCTTTTAACTGGATGTACTATTGTGCATGCCCTGGTAACATCTATATTATATTACTGCAATGCACTCTTTGTGGGGCTGCCCTTGAAGACTGTCAGGAAACCGCAGTTGGTAGTGAATGCTGCCATTAGAAGTGTTGACTGGAGTGGGTTGAAGGGACTATATCACTTCAGTCTTGTTCTGTCTATGCTGGCTTCCAATTTGCTTCCGGGCTCAATTCAAAGCACTGGTATTGACCTTTAAAGCTTTGTACGGCCTTTTCCTTAAAGACCACCTCCTCCTGTATGAACCTACCCATTCACTTCGGTTGTCCCCTCCGTCTGAAGCTAGATGGGTGATCACCCAAGAAAGATCCCTCTTGGTCGTGGCCCCGAAACTTTGGAACTCCCTCGCCAGGAAGGTTTGTCTGACTCCCTCTAGTGGTGTCTTTTGCCAGCAGGTGAAGGTTTTTTTGTTTCGTCTAGCATACTCCTGATACAAGTTACTAGCCCTCTTTCTAGTGTTGTCTGTTGATGTGTTTTTAATGGAATTATTTTATACTGTTAACTGTATTAACTGTGTACCCTGATCGGGAGCAAAGGCAGCACAAAAACGTTTCGGATTAATCAATATTAAACACTTGGGAAAGAATCTGCAGCCTTCTGCATGCAAAGCAGATGCTCTACCACCAAGTGGAACCCAAATTCAAATAAAGCCTGGTGGTGGCTATCGGGGCTGACCTGAAATTTGTGTTAATAAGTCCCATTGGAAGCAGTGGCACTTCACCTTAGTCATGATTAATTTATGGTTTCAGTGGGACTTGGGTACTATTAATTTTAGCTGGATCTGGACTATCAGGTTGCCAAATCCCCCAGGGGGGTTTGCCCGCTTTGGGGGCCCCCAACCTGCCATCCCAGATATGGACGGTGGGGGGAACCCTGCCCCCAAAGTGCCTGGATTGGGCCAATGTGCCTGGCACAATGATATCACCCGGAGGTGACGTCATTGTACCGGGCACATCGCCGGGGAGATGCTCTAGCATTTGGCCTGAAAACTCTATGGTATTATAGAGTTTCTAGCTGAATACAAGAGCATCCCCCTGGTGATATGCCTAGCGTGATGGTATCACTTCCGGGTAACGCAGGGTGCTGGGGGAAATGTAGGCCTGCAGGGAAATGGGTGTCAAGGCCTGAAGCCTGTGTGTGAGGTAGGGCTGCCAACCTCCCACTATTACAGCTGATCTCCAGGCAACAGAGATTAGTTTAGCTGGAGAAAACAGCTATTTTGGAGGGTGGACTCTATGGCATTATACCCTACTAGGAAAAAGGCTCGTTGTGGAAATAAATACAACGGCCTCTAGAAAGAGGCTCTGGGCGGGTGCCCTGGCCTTGGATACTCAGTGCCAATTTGCTGTGGCGACCTCAGCAGGGTATAATGACACTGAGTCCACCATTTTATCCAGAGGAACTGATCTCTGCTATCTAAAGAACAGTTGTAATTGTGAGTGATCTTCAGCCCTCACCTGGAGATTGGCAACGATGGTTCCCCAGAAGGGAATGGTTGGTTTGGATGGAGTCTATGGCTTTGTACCTGTTCGAGGTCCCACGTCTCCTGAAACCTCACCCTCTCCAGGTTCCATCCCTCACATCTCCAGGAATTTCCCACCTGGAGTTGGCAACCCTATCTCCTCCCCAGCCAATCATCAACCTACCTTTATTTCCCCCTCACTCTTCAGCTTTCCACCCCCCACCCCCCACACACCTGCAGCCTCTCCCGTGCTCTGAAGCCCTGACTGCTACGTCACATTGGATGTCATACGGGCGCCACCTCAGCAGCATATAAGGACACAGAGCCCACCATTTTCTCCAGGGGAACTGATCTCTGCCATCTGGAATGCAGTTGTAATTCTGAGTGATCTCCAGCCCTCACCTGGAGATTGGACACATTTTACCTCAGAACAGCAAACTGTTTAGAATGTTAGAGGCCGGCTTTTATATATAAGGGAGATTAAAGTCCCTCCTCTCCCCAAATCCCACCCTTTTCAGGGTCTACCCCCAAAATCTCCAGGTATTTCCCAACCCAGAGCTGGCATGAGGGAAAGCTGTCTTGAGGCCTGCAGGCTGCTCCACTCTAGCCTCAGGCCTAGGATTGTGACATTACCACACAGGGTTGTTGTGAGGAGACAACGGAAGGCAGGAGAATGATGTAGGCCACTTTCAGTGTATAGATGAAAGCGTTGTTCTTGTTGTTATCCATTCAGTCGTGTCCGACTCTTGGCGATTCTACGGGCCAGCTCTCTCCATGTTTTCCAATCTTGTACTGTTTCTTTGAGTCCTTCCATGCTCAGGCTGGTGTTGACTTTTATGGTGTCTAACCACCGTGTTCTTTGGTGGCCTGGTTTTCTTTTGCCAGTAACCAATCCAAGCATAATTGCTTTTTGTAGTGAGTTCTTCCACATGACATGACATGGCCGAAATAAGTCAGTCACAGTTTTATGGGTTTTTCCTTCCAATGACATGTCTGGTTTCATGTGCTCCAATACTTGCTTGTTTGTCACCTTTGCTGTCCGAGGAATGCGCAGGAGCCTTCTCCAGCACCACAGCTCAAATGAGTCAATTTCCCCCCTGTCTTGCTTCTTCATGGTCCAACTTTTGCAGCCATAGGTTGCTATGGGGAACACAATAGCACACAGACCAATCTGCATTTGGTCTCTATACCGAGGCGTTGTAGTACTGTAACTATTGGTGAATTGTAACTGTTAAAAAAAGTCAGATGGTGAATCCGTTAAACAATTTTTAAAAGCTGTCAGCCTGTTGATTGTTTTGGGGTATCTAGATCTTGTGTATCACAGATGATTAGAATATGAAATGTTACAAGGGGACGCTACCACGCCCATGCTTCAAAGAAGTCTTTTCCCCCTCTTGCAGACAGTTCGCCATGGGTTTCCATATTTGCCCACTGCCTTAGCTTTCGACCCGGTTCAGAAGATCCTGGCAATTGGGACAAGAACAGGCACCATTCGAATGTATCCTTTGGTAATGCACAAGGCTATGTGATTTCATCATCTATACTGTACAGCTTGTTCCATTGGTTAATTTTCTTGCACATTCATTCAGGTAAGATACAGTGGATACACCACCATGTTTGTATGCTTCGCTTTTCTTGACTGAATCAGGCTAAGTTAGTGTGATTTGAGGCAGATTCACACATCAAGCCATGTTTATTTAACAAATATCTTCCTGATCTGGAGTCCACATATTGGAAGGACCACCTCTCCTGATGTAAACCCATGAGCCCTCTTAGATTCCACCCGTCAGTACCTGAGAGGGCTTTTGGGGTCCTTGAGAGCTTTGGGGGGTGGGGCAGGGTGACGTTGCAGTGACACTCTAGGAATTTCCCATTTATCATAGAGGTCTGTGATGTCACTTCTGGCTACAGTAGAGAAGAGCAAGAGTCCAGTAGCACCTTCAAAACTAACAAAATTTGGGGCAGAGGATGAACTTTCGTTAGTCACTGCTCACTTCTTCAGATATCTGAAGGAGTGAGCAGTGACTCATGAAAGCTCCTACCCTGCCACACATTTTGTTAGTCTTGAAGGTGCTACTGGACTCTTGCTCTTTTCTACTGCTACAGACAGACTAACATGGCAACACTTCTTGATCTAACTTATGGGCGACATAACTGAAAGGGATGTTGCGGTGTTCCTACAATGCTGTCTTTCTCTTCATGTTGTTCCCAGTGCACCACTGAGCGCCTATGGGAGCCCAGAGCCCATGGGTGGGAGATATGTTGCTATAGCAATAGACCTGGCCAGTGGCGGCCCTAATCTGTTAGCCATGTCCCAGCAAAAATAATAAAGAGGAATCTAGTAACACCTTAAACACTGACACCATTTTATTGCACTGTAAACTAGACTGGAGCCCAGATTCTTCAAATGTAATACCGTGGTTCCTCACTGGGCAGTCCTGTTATCCAGGAGGTAAGGAAAAGCAAAAACAAACCTGACCGATTTACCCAATGGAGATATAAGAAGGACATTGTTGACACTTGGTGGCATGTATCACACTGGAGCAGCCATTTTGTGGCAGCCGTTTTGTGGCCTTGACCACCACACTGTGTCAGAATTCCAAAGGTGCCTGCAGGCTCAGAAAGGTTGGGGGCCCCGGCTGCAGATCTAAGCCTTGCTGTCTTGGAGGGTGGACTCTGTATGGCATTCTACTCCTCCCCTCCCCACACCCCGCCTTCCTCAGGCTCTCCCCCAAAATCTCCAGGAATTTCCCAAACCAGAGCTGGCAACTCTACCTTTTGAGCCTGCTGGTTGTTGTTTTTTCCATGCAAGTGAGGAGCCATTGGATTGCTTCTGAAGAAGTGGCTTCTAGTCCATGAAAGCTTATGCTGGAATAAAATCTTGTTAGACTGTAAAACATTACTAGATTCCTCTTTATTATTTCCCCGCATCAGTCCCAGTAAATTATCCTTTTCTCTTGGGCAGTCCCACCGGCTTCAGTCAGGAATCAAGTTCCTTTTCTTATGACAATGCCTTTCTAAGGGTTAGGGTTGCCAGACACCCCCCCCCCCGGTGGAGGTTGGGGTTCCCCCTCTGCCAGCCCCTACCCCCAGCCACAGATCAGCTGGCCGGCAGGGGGGACTTACCAGGAGAAAGGAGAAGGCCTAGGCCTCGTGGCTGGTGTCACACAGGAAGTGACGTCATCACGTCAGCGACATCTGAGTGACGCTCTGGTATTTGGGCAAAACCTCTATGGTGGAAACCAGTTTTACCATAGATTTTTTCCCCCAATACGAGAATGTCACCTGGACATCGCTGGTGTGATGACGTCACTTCCTGTGTGACGCCGGCAGTGAGGCCTAGGCCTTTCTCTTCCTCCTCGTAAGTCCCCCCATCTCCTGCCGGTTGCCAGGAGGGACCAGGCAAACCCTACTGAGAGTATCAGATTCCTTTCTCTACCCAGCTTCTGATGGACATGTAAGACTTAACCATTTCAGAAGATGTTCCAGTTTTCTTCGAATATTGGTGCTGTAGAGACTGCTTTCCAGTTTTCTTCGAATATTGGTGCTGTAGAGACTGCTGTATGGTTTAGGGTTAAGTCTTTCCTGTTTTGTATTCAGCTTTTCTTTCAAAGTAACTGCTCTGTGTTTCTGATTTTGTCAAAGTTAAAAAGCCGTTGTCCAAATGCTTTAAATAAATATAATGTCAATCTTTCAAAGTTAAGAAGAAGAAAAAAGTATCTTTCCAGCTCCCAGGAAGAAGGATCAATTTGGAACTGACTGGGACTTCGCGACCTGTGATTTCTCTAAATCTTGCACATTATTAGCTCCCCAAAAGTCTGAATGTGCAGGACCATCTCAGGTAGAAATAGGATCCTGAAGCATTGCATCCCAGCCAGCATTTCTTGGGGCTAGACCACCCTTTTTGAGTCGCTGCTGATTTGCTTCGTCCTACAACAGTTCTCCTTAATGGGAGCGAAATACATCTATTTCCATCTGCAAAGCAGTTTGCTGTATATATAAAAGCTGGGTATATATACTGCCTTCTCTGTGGCTGCGATCCCTCTGCCCTTTTGTGCAGCCTGCTTCTGTGCTGTTTCCCCCTAATAAGCAAAGACAACGATCGACTGCGGTGCACTGTGTTTTGCTGTGATTCCAGCTCTCAGCCTAGGCAAACTGATCCTTGACTTTGACTCTTAACAGATTGGGCCGACCGGGTGTTGACTGTTACTGCCAACACGAAAGCGGCGCTGCAGTTGTGCAGCTTCAGTTTTTAATTAATGAGGTAAGGCTACATTTACTGAATGCAGATCTTTACTCGCAGTCATGTGGAGGACGGGGCTTCTTTTGCTTTCAGTTAATGAGAACAACAGATTGTCTGTCTGAACTATATGAAATTTTTATCTTCAGGGGGAGGGATCTTGGTAGGATACAGGGAGAGAAGCCAAAATGTCATTATGTACAGTACGCACCTATTATTACGTCATTTTCTTTCATGCTTGCTCCTTTCCATTTTTAATATTATAATACATAAAGGAGTATTGATGGTGTCATGGAATCTTCACAAACGTATATACTGAGGCTGTCAGCCCTAGAATGTGTGTGATATTGTGTCTTTGTAAGCTGAGGTGAAAGGCCAATAACGAATTCTTTGTGTGGCAGCGATGAAGGTGGTGAAGCAATTGGCTGTCACAGAGAGAGTTCTGATGAGCATTTTATCTGCGAACGGAAGGGGATAGCGTTAGAAGGACACTCCAGTTTTGTATATTAAAGTGAAAAGTCAGTGGCTGACAGACTTAGGGGCAGAAGTGTGGGCAAAATATAGGACACTGAGGGCTGAAAAACTAATTGGAAGAAGACTCCTAAGTGGCACTGAAGTTTAATGGGCAAGAGGTGGTTCTGAAAGAACCTTGCATAGCCTACATATAAGAGAGTATGCTGTTTGCAGGAGAAGGGAAAACAGACTGTCCTGTATGTAGACACATGAGGTTCTTCCATCTTAGGTAGAGGTAGTACATGTTGAAACACAAAGTCCTTAGGGAGTGGGAAAGGAAGGAAGGAAAGGCTGAGGAGAATGTGGAACCAAATCTCACATGGGACGCAGGAACAGGAAACTCTTGAGCTGATGGCAAAAATAGAATAGATGGTAAAAGGATTATGGGGGATTAGGGAGCCAACTGTGAGATGTAGATTTTGAGGCCTGCCTGCCAGTATTATGAGAGGTTCTCGTAATGTTTAAAAACTACTTAAATGGGAAGATGGGGACATGTTGCTGAGTGTGTTGTTTCCTGTGATGGTAGTGTTACGTGTGAAAATGACCGGACACGCGTCAAGCAGGAAACTTCACACGGAGGCTCAAACAAGTACAGCTTTTATTTGTAGCGTGATTTGCAAAGCATGGAGAGACGTGGAGGGCAGCCCCCCTGGCGTCTCTGAAGCTGTGGCGCAGCACAGAAATTCTTATACCCTAACTTGTTGGGGCAACCAGTTGGCCGCACCCCCTCACATTCTACCTGTTTCCAATCAGAACTTTTCCCTGCCCAGAGTTTCCCCCTCCCATGGCCCATCCTCATTCTCATCTTGGTACTTTTCCGTTACCTAGCTTGGGCCTGTTTTTCCAGCAACGAATCTGTTTTTCTAGCAATGCCCGTCCGTTATCTATTTTGCAGCTCTCGAAGCAAGCTCTGTGTAGCACGAGAAATCTTAGGAATTTCTACATGTAAGCTTAGGTGTTTTCCATGAGAGATTCAGAACATTTTTCAATATACTCCTGCTCCCCCTTTCAGAACGAGCTCACGGAGGAGATCCGGGCCCTGCGGGACCTTGTGCAGTTCCGCAGGGCCTGTAAGACGGAGCTCTTCCACCAGGCGTATGAGTAGGAGCCG